AAAAGAAGAGGCAGACACTAACTTAGTAAAGCAATAAAAAGCTAACATTGCTAGTAACGGAACACATTGACATTGTATGTCTCTCTTGCTATGTCCTAGGAAGAATACAGCATCTTGTGGTATTCCTGAACAAAATCCATCATCATGAGGAAATATCAGGTAAACCCAAAATAAGAAATAACTTATAAATCGTCCCACTCCTGAAAATTATTAAGGTCATTAAAGTCAAGAAAATGTTAAGGAACTAAAATATTAGATAAAAACTAAGAAAATCTGAATAAAATATTCATTCAAGTAAATAATGTTTCACTGTTGGTTCATTAGTTATTAAAAAAAAACAATGTATTATACTAATGAAATATATTAACAGAAGGGGAAATTGGATGAGGGTTATATGGTATTCCATTACTTTTATTAATATTATTTATGTATAAATAGCTCTGATGTATTTTAAATAAATAATAAAAATACAATAATACTATTTCATGAATCACTTTCATTATAACAAAGTCTAAGCTTTGAACATATTATAAGAAATATATTTCTAAAGATAAAAATTTATCCACTTATATTACACTTAATTTTTATAAATATATAATAAACATTTAAACTAATATTTAATCAAAAAATTAAATAAGGTAGACTTAAGAGTTTGCATGTGTGTGTGCATATGCGTGTGTTTGTGTGAGCATGTGTGTGTGTGTGTGTGTGTGTGAAGAAAGAGAGAAAACAAGAAAGAGATTATCATATATTTCTATGGCTTAATTTGGCTGAATTTAATTTGACTGAAATTAAGCTTTTGGTTTCTGCTTATTGAGAGCATCATTAAAATGTTTTAAATCATTCTGTTAAACCTTAAAAAAAACTAAAATATTTTAGAATCCAATTTTTAAAAATTAATGAGCACATTAATCTAAGGAGTTGTTGAAGGACATTATCATGCCATGTTCAGAGAATTAAGTATAGCAGAACTTGAAGTAGAGTAAAATAAACATGCTAATTAAACATGCATTTGATATCAGTTAGTATTAAATACCTTTTATGTTATGCTGGCTTTTACAACTATTATACATGTAGTTGAACAAGACATTCATTTTGAGAGTCTTAAATTACCCAGAGAAAAATATTTGCAATGTCTCATGTCTTGCACACAAACAAGGAATTATAAACCTCATGATAGTCCTTGGTCAGTATTTAGATATAGGCTTTAGAATTTTTGACATATTAATAGAAGAACATGCTTACAAAGGGTGTATGCACGAAGGCCCAATGCAGGAAGATTTATGCAAGAATGGGCCTTCCTTTCCCTGGCTTCCGGCACCACCTCCTCTCTGGCTGGAGCTGCCTTTTTGCCTTCCCATGCTGCCCATGGTCCCAGAGTGGCTGGGGTGGTGCAGAACACCAGCATCATCACCATGGTGATGACACAAGCATCCCGCCCTGGCCCCAGCAGCTCAGTGCCTGTGCATGCAAATTAACCCACCTTATTTGTTTTGTTAATTTGCATATTCACTCCTGATGGCTGGTGGGTATTATGGAGGTATGGTCAATTACCATGTTACTCTTTTATTTGGTAGATGATACAATACTATATGTATAAACCCTGATATTTATTTTTAAATCAGTTACATGAAAATGATTGTAATTTAGTTAATATAATAGGATGTCTACCAATAAGCAGTGAAGGGATGATTGAACCAAAAATGTAGGTTTTACTCCCAACTTTGTGACCAGTTTAACATAGCCAATTCATGCTATTGCTTCAGGGCTCAGTGTTCTCATAGTGACTAATCAGGACTTTAATTTTGGAAACTTCTTTTATACAATTGTTATAATGACTTTATATCTGTCTTAAGGATTTTGATGAAGTAAAATATTTTGAACCAACAATCTATTAAACTCCGAGTGATTAAACAAACAAACAAATATACACACCATTTAGATCATTCTGTATTAACTGCATGCCTATAATAAAATGTGACAGGCCCAGCTGCTATGGCTCAGTGGTTGAGAATGACTTATGAATCAAGAGGTCACAGTTTGATTCCTGGTCAGGACACATGCCCAGGTTGTGGGCTTGATTCCCAGTGTGGGGCATTCAGGAGGCAGCCAATTGGTGATTTTCTCTCATCATTGATGTTTCTGCCCCTCTCTCCCTCTCCCTTCCTCAGTGAAATCAATAAAAATATATTAAGCAAAGTAAAAGAAAAAGAGACAGCATAGAAAATATTTTGCAATCTTTCACAGAAGAGTAAAATGTATTTAATTTTATTTTAAAAGCAGCATTGTAGTTGGAGTGTAGACACATAAACATAAGTATATATTAATATAATTTCAATGGATTTACATATCCATTCTAGCCAATGAAATGAAGAGAAGTACTACTATGGAAGAACTCCTCAAATAAATAAAAGATCAGAACAACAGTGAAATTGGTTTATTTCCTTGCAATTATATTTTGAGGTTTAAATGAACTTTTTGTGTGTTTTTTTTTCCCCAAGAAAATAGATTAAATATTACGAGCAAAATCAAAGGGAGATATTATTATCAAACTATGGAAAATATGAACACAGTACCAGTGAAAAAGGACTGTCTCAGTTGACTATAGGGAAATGTACTGAGAGAAAACCATATACGTACAGCTTTGTAAAGAACTCTGGACCTCTGCAAACAAAATGTTTGATTTTTCTATAGATTATGTCGCTGTAATTGACATTTATCCATACTATGAGTATTTGAGAGTTTGGAAAAACTGAAGATAAATGAATGTGAATATCTGGGGACAACTTTAAAAATAGGAAATAGAAATAGGTCTGAGTTAATCCTTAAAAGATGAATAAAACCTGTGGACTTGCACGGTAAGGAGGCTGCCATTCTAAGTAAAATGGACTGTGTGAGCAAAGCCCAAGAAGTGGAAATATTTGTGAGAGGGAGAAATTAGTCTGAAAGAAGTGAGGCTTTATCATAAAGAATTTGAAGTTAAAAATACATTGACAAAAGGTCGTATTATGGAAGGCCTTTAGTTAGTCAACAGAGATAGATGGCCTTTTTCCTGGCAATAATTTTAAATTATACAATTTTTGAATAGGAGAGTGACATGATTAAAATAGTATTTGAGAACATTATTTTTCAGCAACGTGCTGAAAAGTTTGGGTGGGGTAAGTGAAAGTAGTTAAATCACATTTTCACATTTAATACTTTGAACTTCAATTTGTATATTATATATTTACTTACAAAAGTTAAATATATGGATCCAGGAATAGTTTAAATATGGTATAAAATATATATTACATTTAGATCTGTGCCTAACATAATTCACCTGAATATAAGTTTATGCCCAAATGAAATTATCACTGAAATAAAAAAGAAAAATTTCATTGAAATAATATACTTCAGATGCTAAAATAATTATGTAACCTGATTAATTACATTAATTAGCATCTGTCTTTTTTAGTAGAAACCTGTTCAGTCATGGTAACTCAAAAAGGTTAAGCCTTGACTGATCAGTAACTTGTCCTGTTAAAACTTAAAAGAGATGTGTTTATTTTAAAGTAATACAAACTATAAAGTCTCAGATTGTGAAAAACATCATTTCTTAATTTTCTTATGAATAGAATAATTTTTTTATTTATTTTTTATTTTATTTTATTTTATTTTACTGATTTTGTACAGAGAGGAAGGGAGAGAGATAGAGAGCTAGAAACATCGATGAGAGAGACATTGATCAGCTGCCTCTTGCACACCCCCCACTGGGGATATGCCAGCAACCAAGGTACATGCCCTTGATGGGAATCGAACCCGGTACCCTTCAGTCCCCAAGCCAACGCTCTATCCATTGAGCCAAACCGGTTTCAGCTGAATAGAAGAATGTTGAGATAAATAGGATACATGCCAACAATTTCAAAAGCTTGTGGAGGTTAAAGGCCCAATGCTGTGTAACTAATACCCTAATTACACTGATTTCATCCTAAGTAGGTACATATTTTTAAGGTTCAATGAGCATCTTAGAGGTAAAGAAGAACCGCTAAAATGTGGTTCCTTTTTTTTCTGTTGTTAAAATACACATAATAGATGATATTAGAGGGACTTTAAAATGTTTTCTGACTTAATGGAATAACAAAAATGTTATAATAGAGTAATTTTTTAAAATAAAAGGGATCTTAAATAAAAGGAATCTATGCTTTTGTTTGTTTGTTTGTTTGTTTTTTGAGCCAGATCTCTTTTATTTTAAAATAAAAATAAAAAACCCCAAAACAAAAACAATCCCCCCAAAAAACAAACAAACAAAAAAAACAAAGCTAATAAACTAACAAAAGCATGTTCTAATAAAATCAATAATATTACTTTTTTGATTATTTTAATAATTTTATCAGAATTTTCTTTTAAAAATTTAATTGTGAGTTATCTATATTATAAAATTCCTGTGGCCCTCATGCCTTAACCACCAAAGTTCAGCGTGGGTGGGCGGTGCTGGGAGTGAGGCAAGGCACACAGGGGTGGGCAGGGCTGCATGAGTTCATGCTCTGAGCTTCTAGTATTGAAATATTTTGAATGCACCAAAATGATTTTAAAATTGAGGAAAGATTTTAAATTGATAGAATCCTAAATAGATATTTTCTTCCAGCATTTAATTACTGCAAACACTTCAGAGATACAAAAATAAATTAGTTCTTCTCCTTACAATGAAAACAAATAACTTCTGTTGAGCGTCAGTAGGCATACAGGTGGATTCAGGCTTAAAATTGTGCATACTGATCATGAGCATTAATATTTTGGTCATTATTATAAATAAATCAAACATTTCCTATAGCAAAGAAAATTCTTAAAATCATGTCAGGAATGATCCAGGCCTTATTCCCTCTAAAGCCCTCTTCCTTAAAATATTTTCTTGATATTTCTAAACAGGCAAGCTTATTATTATAGAAGACTCATTTCAAAACATTTATAGCATAGTCAGTTATTTGTATAAAAAAGGACAAAGAGAACATTTAGAGACTGACCTCATTCACAGTGGCATAGTAGCTTTCATGCTTGAATGTGGGTGAGTTGTCATTCCTGTCTCTCACCACGATTCGAACTTCATGGTAGATAACAGTGCCCACTTTTTTGTTGACGCACTGGACTTGCACCACGATAGAGTGTATGTTCATTGGTGGCTGAAATACAGAAATTGTACGTTTATTAAAAAAACAAAAACTCACTTTATTATTATTGCTGTCAAAGCACTATTTAATACAATTTTATATGCTTGTTCATTTTTACATGATAATAATCTACACAAATTGATCCAATTTGTACTATTTTAAGGACAAGAAAATGATTAAGATTACTTCATGTTCAACTTTGTGTCTCAAAATATAGCATCTTAAGTAGCATCATGCTCACAATTAGAAGATGGTGATAAATACAACCATAAAATGAATGCTGAGATTGGATGGGATGGATCAAATTTTTATATGAACTTCTAATTTATAAAAATGATGTTAATAATAAAATTCTTGGGGAAGGGATATTTAACATTTGTGTCTATATTTTTGCTAAAATATTATATATGTTTTTTAAAAATATATTTTATTGATTTTTCACAGAGAGGAAGGGAGACGGATAGAGAGCTAGAAACATCAATGAGAGAGATACATCGGCCAGCTGCCTCCTGTACACACTTTTTGGGGATGTGCCCACAACCAATGTACATGCCCTTGGCCGGAATAAAACCTGGGACCTTTCAGTCCGCAGGCCAATGCTCTATCCACTGAGCCAAACCGGTTTTGGCTAAAATATTATATGTTGATATCTGATAAAAATCAAAATGTAAATAAGAGAACCCATTCACAATTTAATCAAATATACTCTATTTGTACCTTTAAATGCTTATTTTTCTAATATTTCCCCCTTTCCAGATATATATGTATTATACACATACACATAAACATACACAGAATGAATATATCATATTTATAAATATAGATTTACTATAACATCTTGGTGTATACTACTATGAAACTACTTTCTGTAGTTTCAGAGTACTCACTCCACTTTAATTCTATAGCGTAATTTGTCTAATTAGAAAATTATAATGAGATGTTTTATGTTGTCAGTTTTTATCATTATAAATGATACTTCAATAAACATTCTATACCTAAATATGTACTAAATCGCTTAATTTATTTTTATGATAAATTGTTGAAGGAGAAAAGTGTTGTCAAAGGGGAACCCACTTACTCTGGTCCCAGAGCTTAGGGCTTGCAAAATTGGGATGCACACCTACATCTCTTTGACTCCACAGTCAAAGGATTAACACTAAAACATGTATCTTTGTGATTTAAAAAATATTTTTCAGATCATAAAATTACCCCTATAAATATATCATTTTCAGAATGACCTGTTCTTATACCATCTAAAGTACTATGTCTCCAGCACTTTTCGATTTCTCTTTTCTATTTCTCCCTTCACTAGTTTTCTTTTTTGCAATTTCCATCCAACACTTGACATAGTACATATTTTATATATTTGTTTTACTTTATCTCCCTACTCTAAATTTAAAGCTCTACAAAACCTGGAGTATTGTTTCAGTCCTGGCAAAATCTCTCTACACATGCACCAGCACTGTGCCTATGACAGATGGCTGTATACCTGAGCCTACTTGGTTTTCAAACTTAGTTTTATAACTGTATGATATATATACAAAATGAACATCAAGTTTATATAGTGACACTGTGAGTGGGCTTCTGGAAAAATAATACTTCATATTCATTGATCATATCAGGTGCAGAGATAGGTGGGTTATAATAAGCACCATATTCTGGGTGAATAAGATATAAAATCTGAACACTTTCAAGTATGTGTTAAAATTTGAGGATGATTAAGATAAAAATACAGTATTTGCTAGACATCTGAATAGTTGTGAAATGATCAAGGATCTTTTATTTATTGCAGTTCTAGAGAGCTAAAATAAGAACAATGAATAAAAAGTTTTATAAAGCATATGTTTTCAATGTAAGTAGTGGTTTTCTAGTAATCCATAATGGTGCAGAATAGAATAGACTATCCTATAAGACAAGCTCCATCATTAAAATTTTCAAGGTTGAGGAGAATAAAAAGATTATTTCATAAGACTAGATCTTCAAAGTTTTAAGGAAATAATTTGAATTAGATGACCTCTTTACTACAGTTATTAAAGTGTTTGCTTTATTGGACAGCATATTTTAATCATAAAGTAAAAAACAATAAATACAGGTACTATTAGTCTTTGGCACACCTTTGGCACACCTCTTTTGGAAGACAATCAGTTGAATCATGTTTTTCTAAGGTTATTTGTCCTCTAAATATTTCAAGAGAGACCTATAAAACCATTTCATCTCAACCTCTAATTCTATGAGTGGAAGCACTAGGACAGAAAGGTCACAATCGTTGCAAGTAGAGGATCAAATGCATACTGCACTGAGCCCACTTAGTCCTATAAGTGCCCATAAATTAGACATACCCAGGTCATCTGGAACTCTTGTCATTCTCAATTTTAGCTCCCCATGCAACTGTTAGTAGTATGGATAGAACTTAGCTAACAATAAATTTCAACCATAATGGATCATGTTGAAGGCAAGAATTCCCTGCAGCTAATATATAACACACATTGTGATCTCACATTGGAATAGATTCTATTCTGCTGTTTAAAAAGGTCATAAATATATCAAGTGTAGTTCTATTAAGTCCATTAGTGAGAGTTTGGGGAATCCAAAGTCTTTAGGAATGAGTTAGGGAAATTGTGGTTTGTCTTTCATAACTGGTGGGAAAAAATAAGTCATGACAATTTTATTCTGTCTAATTCTCTTAAGTCGCTTCAATATTAAACAAAAAATAAAAGAGTGTGTATAAATTTAGAGGGCAATTACTTAAAACAACCAAAATGTATATATTCACAGGCATGCCAACTATTCTCCTAGTTTAAAAATGAATATTTAGCATAACATTCTGAATGTATATTTGCATATTTATATCTTGGTGTATAGATTTTGATATGCATAAAGTACATGGATAATATGTACCAACAGTTGATGGGTATTATCTTTGAAAAGTACAGTTGAAGTAGAAAGTAAAGGAATAAAAACTTGACAACAAATATGTATGAACTGTGTAATTTGTGAAAAGACAAAAATAGAAAATTGAGTTAAGGGTTTTTCAGAAATCCACTTTGGATTCAACATTCAAAGTGAAGTTTATTATAGTGAATTTATTGATATTACAGTATTGATTATAGCACACATCTTCAATCTAAAGGGAATTGAGTTTTTCCAGAAATGATGTTATTTGATGGGCTAAATAATTTAGAGGGAAATAAGTTTTTAGCAAACCTGTATAAGAATTGATTTTATTTTTCATAAGGCAAAGGCAAAATGTATTCAATTCTCACAGGAATAAAAGGTTTTTGCCAAGATTTTTCTTTCTATGTATTTACTATCTTTACAAAATGAAAAATCTTATTGAAATTTTAAACTACTCAGTATTTTAAAGCCTCCATTGACTTGAGCTTTCTTTTCTGATATGTTTACCACCAGGTATATATTATTTTACAATTAAATGAGACTAATTTTCAGTTGTGATTAGATACAACTTTTTCAGCAGCAATAATCTATACTGTACACATACCAGATGGACACTGGATTGAGAATTTTCAGGATAAAGACATTTACATTTTGATTTAAAAGAAAAATAAAAACCCTGAAAGCACTGTGACAGCAAAAAGATAAACTCACAACCCAAATAAGGTAATATAGGACAAAGTGAAATGCATCAAAATAAATTAAGATTTATTTTTCCCCAATTCACATATTACTTCATGTTATTAAAAAGATGGCTAGTGTCTAATATATAGAGAAATCATTAAGACTTCAACAAGTGCTCTGCTGACATGGCTCAGGGGTTGAGCGTCTACCTACCATGGTTTGATTCCAGTCAAGGCATATGCCCAGGTTGTGGGGCATGCAGGAGGCAGCTGGTCAATGATTCTTTCCCATTTCTGATGTTTCTGTCTCTTCCTCTCCTTCCTCTCTGAAATATATATCCTATATAATAAAGAGGTAATGTGCAAATTGACCCTCATGCCCTCACAATATGGCTGCCTATGACCAGGCCGGCAGGGGGGTAGTGAGGGATCACCAAATGACTTGACAGCAGGCTGCATGGGTGACCAGGCCAGAGAGGGGGTCATGAGGGGCGACCAGGCCAGCAGGGGGGGAGCAGTTAGGGCGACCAGGTCATCAGAGGGAGGCAGTTGGTAGTGACCAGGCTGGCAGGGGGAGCAGAAAGAGGCAACTAGACATGTGTGTGTGTGTGGGGAGGGGGGGGGGGGGGGGGAGTCAGTTAGAAGTGACCAGGCTGGCAGGGAGAAGGTAATTGGGAGCGACCTGGCCAGCAGCAATGGGCAGTTAGGGGCGACCAGGCAGGCAGGCAGGTGAGAGATTAGTGAGCGATTGTGAGAGAGATGTCCAACTGCAGGTTTAGGCCCATTCACTGGGATTGGGCCAAAAGCCGCAGTCGGACATCCCCCGAGGGGTCCTGAGTTGGAGAGGGTGCAGGCTGGGCTGAGGGGACTCCCCTCCCCTGTGCACAAATATATATTCTGAGTGGCCAGATTATTATGATCTCTGAATGCATAACAATCTTGCCACTTAATATATATATATGACTTGGATACGGACATACCTAAACAGGGCCAGTAAAGAATACCTGTGAGTAATGCAGCTAGGGTCCAGGGGAGATCTGCAGTTTGCCAATATATATATATATATATATATTGAGTGGCAAGATTATATATATATATTAGAGGCCTGGTGCATGAATTTGTGCATGGGTGGGGTCCAGCCAGCCTGGACAGGGGGAGTGGACATGGATGGCTGGCCAGCCTGACTACTGGTTGAACTCCTGGTTGAGGAGACAATTTGCATATTAGTCTTTTATTATATAAAATACACACTGAGTGGCCAGATTATTATGCATTTAGAGATCATAATAATCTGGCCACTCAGTGTATATGACTACTGCAAGTTACTCCAGTATGATGTGATATAAAAGTTAACATATATGGTAAATAATCATTCCTTCTCTTAGTTCTGTTTGGAAATACTAATTTAAAGATATAAGATTCTCTCTCAAATTGATAATTTAAAAAAGGTTATTTACCCAAGGCAAGTTCTGTAACCTGAGCTCTATGCAATCTTGATAGTTAGTGAAACTCTTGAAATTGCAAATAATTTATTGATGTGAAAATAAACTTTTCCCTGAGAAATGAGTCCATAGATTTGATCAGAATACTAAGTGCCCCCCAAAAGATGAAGTCTTACTGACAAATCTATACATTAAAAAGTACATTCAGCCTATTATCATTTTTTCCCCATGACTCTTGGAAATCTAATGCTGGTGAAATATTTCTTAATGATCCAATATATTCATGATATAAACATTTAATAGTTTCTATACATCAGATTGTCTTTTCCCCCCTTTTATGGTTGCTCTTTAACTTGATGGCCTCCATTACCAGCTAGCAGGTCTAAACTTGATAGTATTTTACACTCTTGTTATTCTTCTCACACATGCTACTACTTCTACTCAGCTTACTCTGAACTACATCTATACTTCTTATTTCTTCTGCATGACTCTTCATACTATTTTTATATTTATATTATACTTCTAACTCTTAGGTTAATGCAATCCACATGTTTATTCCAGAAGAATTCCCTGATATTAAACAAACAAACAAAAATTGGCAACCTGGCTTCCTTATTAATTAGCAGTGTGGACTTCATTTATAGTATCTACATTAAACTTTCCTGATGTAAACACTGAGTACACCAGAGCAGTGGGGCCAGTAAAATATCTATAATAATAAAAGGGTAAAATGCTAATTAGACTGGATGTCATTCCAGAAGTCCTTCTAGACGAAGTTGAGCCAGAGGGAAGCCTGGGTCCTGGGTGCAAGAGGGAAGCTGGTGCCAGCAGCCAGGGGAAGGGAAGGCCTACTCTTGCATGAATTTCATGCATCGGGCCTTTAGTGTTACAATAACAATGAAAACAGCAATAGCAACAAAATACAACAAACAAACAAAAACACTGGAGGGCCATCATGTCCCTACTCATAGGAAGCCTCAAGTGGCGTCTATTCTAATTCAGGTTTTATAAGTCTAACCACCAAAAGAAAGTACCTGTGCAAGATGGTGATGTTAAATCTTTGGTGTGAATTTATTTAACTATACAAGCTTAAATTTTCATATTAATAAGGTTTGGAGTATCTTCTATTCAATGTCTTGCCATTGTTTCAGTAAGTGCATTTGCTTAATGGTAATACATTGCAGGTCTTATTTTTCCCAATTTACAGATTTTTCTCTGCAATATTCATTTTACATTTAATTTTCTTTAGATGACCTAGTCTCCATCATCTTTAGCTAATTTTAATTAGCTGTCCACTGACAACACTTCAATTTGCAAACGATCTTTTTTAACTTGACCATAGCATTCCTAATTTGAAATAACATTTCAAATGGAAAGGAACTTAATGTTCATTAGTATGTTAATAAACCAGTCTGAATTTTTCTTTAAATGATACATGTGCATATTTTTGCATTTTTATGTTCAGGCCAAATCAATTTTAAATATATCCCCATGACATAGATTCATTTTAGCCAATGTTCAATAAATAATGCCCATATTAGAAATAAAAAAAAAATACTAAGAAAACAGATACTTATCTTGAAAAGTAATATAATTTTTGGTAAGTAATTACCATTTAAACAGCTTTATAGGTTGGAGAGATGGAAGACTATTTATATAGGAGGATATCCTTTCTCTCTACTCATAATTCAGACTTATTAGTGTGATTTTTATATAAAAATAGGTTCCCAAAAGTAATTTAGTAGTGAACCAGTAAATTACCATAATTAGCTATAAGGTGATTTAAAAAAATATGTTTTTATTGATTCCAGAGAAAGGAAGGTAGAGGACAAGAGGGATAGAAGAAACATCAATGATGAGAGAGAATCATTGGTTGGCTGCCTCCTGCATGTCCCCAACTGGGGATCAAGCTGCAACATGGTTAAGGGCCCTGAGTGGGAAAAGAAGCACAACCTCCTGGTGGCTGGGTTATAAGGTGATTTTTAAAAAGGATACAAAATATAAAATGATAGTGGTCTCAAATAGATAAATATTCTATAATTCCCCTAGCATGTTATAAAATTCATATGACTTGGATACGGACGTACCTAAATAGGGCCAGTAAAGAATGCCTGTGAGTAATGCAGCTAGGGGCTGGGGGAATCCTGCAGTTTGCCAATGTGTGCCATTGTTCAGATTGGTTTATAAAAGTAGGATTTATGATAAGGTAAACGAAGAAGACACAATTGAGGATAGCAGATGTCTTTATTCCATTTACATCTTCTTAGTCACCCACATAACGCATGCTTCTGTGGTAAAAGGACATAGTGGGGGCTGTGAGAGGGAGGGATGGGGACAGCATTAAGGATGCTTATTGTCCCTAAGTTGAGCCGAACAGTTCTATTCCTATTCTCTACTGCTACCCACGTTTCAAGTATGCCACCATTGCTCAATTAGAATTAAACTATAATAGATGCCTAATGCATGGATTTCGTGCGTGGTAGGGTCCCTAGGCCTGGCTGGTGGTTAGGGGCAATCTGTAGGGTGACCAGTGGGGTGATTGGGGGCCTCCCTGCTGGCACCTGCCTTGGCCAGCCTGGCGCCACCAATTGACCAGCCCCATCCCTGCTGCCACCTGCTTGCCAGCTGGCCCTGCTCCCTGCTGCCACTGCCAGTCACCTCCCTCTGCAGGGTGACCAGTGGAGCAATCAGGGGGCCCCCCGCTGGCACCTGCCTTGGCTGGCCTGGGGTCTTCAGGCTGGGGGCAGCTCCTACGTGGAGCTTCTGCCCTGTGGTGGTCAGTGCATGTCATAGCAAACAGTCATTCTACCATTTGATCAATTTGCATATTAGGCTTTTATTATATAGATTATGAATCTCCCCAAGTATACAAAGATACCCATGTATACAAAGTGTGCAAGTATATGAAGACAGCTATCCTGGTGGGAGAATCCTATGTATTGCCCACCTCACTAGAACATTTTAAAGACTCTAAATTTTACATGTGAAATACGTTAGGGATCATCTACTCTATCATACTGTAAAGTTGATCATAGGTCCTTAATGATGTGGAGAAATCATTCAGTGAACTGAATATCTAATCTTTGAATTTCATAAACTAGAAAGTTTTGGAGTAGGCATGTTTATATATCCTCCTTGAGTTTTCCCAAGGTCCTGCACAGTTACTACTAGTTATTGAAACCCCTACTCCCCACGTACTCTTCCCTGCTCACAAGACTGAACTGCAAATACATGAGAATAAAGTTACATTGAAATAAATACACTCAAGTTTTTAAACTGTTTCAGAGATGATACATTCAGTGACTTTGGTAACTGAGCTGTTGGTAACATAGTGCTATTTAGGTCGTGCTGCCTGAGAATGACTGGACTGGGAGGACTGGACAGGAACATTGCCAGGAGACCTGGGCCCACTTCTGTGAGTTCTTCTACAGCTCTATAGGCACATCACTGCAAACTCATCTCTCAACCAGCGCTTAGTGCGTGCAAGAACAGCCGCCATTAGTATTCCCACCAAATCCTCTGTCCTCAAGTCAACACGTAGCTGCATGTCTAGCTCTCACCCTGGATTACCACTGTGCTTATCCTACTTTTCCAAGGTTACCACTCCTTCATTCAGAACACTCTAGCCTCTTGTTCAGAAATATGATTCACTTCCAGGATGACAGATAAAAGATATGATGGTTCTGTCAGACATGGAGGGGACCTTTCTTTCCTATTTTTTTAAGGAGCTAAAAACAAGTTTTTGTTGATGAACATGGAAAATAAACTAAAATTATATAAAGAAAATTAGATATCATATCAATAGACACATGCAGACACTTCAAGTGTAATAAAGAAAGAAATCACTAACATCTCTATCCAGAACTCTGCCCGTGCTGTTCAGGAACAGCATCTGCTTAATGGGATCCAGCAGCACCCAGTAATCCACGTTGTCCTTTAAAGAGAGCTCTATGGTGGGGTCTGGTCCTCCAGCAGTCCCTTTGATCAGCATGTTATCCACTATAATGGTACCTGGAAACCAAGGAGAGTTATTTCAATACAGATTCTACTTGCATGCATTCTTTAACAAAGATAATATGCTAGCTGACTTGCAAATCTGATTTAATAATTTAAAAAAACTGCATATCTGATGTGATATGGGAAATATTCCTGTTTCAAAAAGACCAAAAACTAAATAAAACTTTTATTATGCTATTTATTACTGTCATTTGGGGAGATGAAGTTTGGGAGGCAGAGATTCAAACACTTAGTGAGTTTTATCATCTATTTCTAATTTACCTTTAACAACAGCAATCTGTTGTCCTCCGTGTCCATCACCTCCCACAGGAGTTACCACTGAATTTTATCCTGAACAAAAGGAAATGCCTATAATAACAGAGGCTGGTACTTCAGTTCCCTCAGTAAGACTGCTGATAAGAGAGGAGAAATCCCCAAAATAAGAGACTGGGAGAGAAAAAGCAGTAACTGAGTATCCCATGGTGAGAACTGCTCATTTTGACTTTTATCTTAAAGAAAATCTATAAAATATAAATTCTAATGTGAAAGACAGAATTAACATACAGACACACAAAAGAAGCCATTAAGACTTGTCTAGAGTACTTGACTGGAACACACACTCTTCCGATGTAACATTTCAATGCTTTCTTCCTTACAATTCTTTAGTGAGCTGAATTGTAGACATTTGCTGAATAAGAGCTAAAATTGAGTACATCTCCAATCCTCCCTACTCTATTAAAGAGTCCATGAATTTTACAATTTGAACACAAACAATACTGACGCAAACCATGTCTCATTTTCTTCCTCATCCAGCGACCGTCTCTTTTCCAAACAAAATGCAATGTTGCTTAAGGAAATCAATTTTAGCTGATCCATTTAAACTAAACTCATGGCATATGGGAGATGTGGCTATGGAAATAAAAATGTACCCTCCTAAAGACATGAAGATAAATGTCATAGATCTAGAGAATGCATTGCCCTGAGATAGCATACAAGAATATATAGATAATCCATAATATTGAACCTAAATTGAAAAATAATCATGCAAAATATATACTTTGCATTTTTTTACAATAAAGAATTGGCCTAAATTTTATATCATTGCATAATTGCAAATAAAAGGATGGCCCCTTTACAAGATTTTCTCTGCAAATAGATAATAATAATCATTTACAAATCTATAATATTTCTTTCTCGTATTATTTCTAATGAACTTCATCTGCCTAGGAAATGCTGAAGTAACCATTGGTCTTTTGTAACAATAATCTAAGTCAATTATTTTCAGCCAGTGTGCTGTAAGAAATTTTAAAACATGCAATATCTGACTATTTAATCAAGGGCACTGACCTTTTTCGCCTTAGATTGTAAAAAAAAAAAAAAAAAAAAAATTACAACAGTCTATACAACAATAGGTGTCCAAGATGAATGAAGCAAAATTAAACCAAATTTTTTTGGTCAGTTAGGCAAATTATAATATTTTTGGTGTGCCACAGAATTTAAATAGTTAGTTCATGTGTGCCATGAGATTAAAAAGGTTGAAAATTACTGATCTAAATAACATTTAAACATGCATTCTGTCATAACACACACTTTTCTAAATGGCAGGTTATATTTTCTACTTTTCAATATACTAGTACACACACACACACACACACACACACACACATGTTTATATAAAGTTAAACTTATCCTTCTATTTTACTGACTGAAATGGCAAACAGATAACCTACAGATAATACATTCAAAGTACAGATTAGATAATTATGGCATTTTCTGATCTACAAATATTTTTAGGGCCTGATACACACTCATTTACAAATACTTCTCTCTTATAATTAACCTTTGAAAAATTATTTAGCCTGCATTTCAATATCTACTTTAAAATTAAATGGGATTTTTTTCTGATAAAAAACACAAAGAAATCTACAACAGTTAAGTCAACTAACATTAACATGTACGCCCTGATTCAATGGTACATAACAGCAGATCTTTCTACAGTCTGCATACACACCACCCAGGCACAGATGAGGGGCTAAGGAGCTCTCCTTTGTAACACAGATACATCACAACCAGAGAGAACTGTAATAGCTATTGTAATCACTAGTAAGTCATTGAAACTAAAACACTGTATCTTGACTTATATATTATTTAGTGATATTTTTAGTTTCATAGAAATGATCTAAATATTTTTTCTAGTTCTTGCCTTTCACTCTGTGTTCAACAATTGAAACTCAACTGTAAATATTTCTAGCACTAGTGTGGTGAACAAGAGAGATCTCTGCTTCTCTTTCAGTAAAATGCTCCATTCACATTGTCAAAGATATTTCAAGATTTTCATAGGCCATGTTACTCCAGACGACTAAACGTTTGGGTAAGAGATAGAAGCACAGCTAAGGCAGACATAATGCTGGAAGCAACAGTTTTTTATTTGTGTGTGTGTGTGTGTGTGTGTGTGTGTGTGTGTGTGTGTGTGTGTTTATGAACATGGGTGTTGAGTCTGGCTTGCCTGAACAACCCTGTCTCCGTTCTCCTCTCAGAATAGTGAGTGATTCCAAGCTAAAGTTAACGTTAAGCCATGGGCTTTTCCAAAACTCTATTTCCACCCCAGCAAAGGGGACTGTAACTTCCCACAGGTCCAAGCTTTTCCAGATCTGGTAGGTGATGTCTGAGAAAATGCTGGTCAGTAATTGTCCAGCAGAATATCTGGGCACAGAGAAAGAATGTGGCCCCCTTGCCTCTTCTCTATTTTGCAAGCTTCCCTTTTGTCCATAAGACCTTTTGTTTCCATTTTAAATATAAAGACACAGATAGGTGCCGAAACCGGTTTGGCTCAGTGGTAGAGCGTCAGTCTGCGGACTGAAAGGTCCCAGGTTCGATTCCGGTCAGGGGCATGTACGTTGGTTGCGGGCACATCCCAGTAGGGGTTGTGCAAGAGGCAGCTGGTCAATGTTTCTCTCTCATCGATGTTTCTAGCTCTCTCTCTCCCTTCCTCTCTGTAAAAAATCAATAAAATATATTTTTTTAAAAATAAAGACACAGATAGGTTAAAAATAAAAGGATAGGTCACACTGCGCAGCACTTAGAAGAAAGTTGCATGACAGTGTGTCCTATCCTTTTATTATCACAGAGTAAATCAGAACAGAGAAATATTTCATGGAAGTAAATGGATAAGTTAATGAACATGGGTTAACCCCAAAGAGACCTGTCTGCTTAGTTTCTAGGATGAAAGTCAGATAAATGCTTTATGTGTTATAGAAACTATTTTAAACACCCGAAACTGCATCTCCATAATCTGTTCTTACCTAGTACTTTCTTATTTAAGGTAGAAGTTTATGTCAACTTGAATTGATCCACTGTTAACCATAAATCCAATTATAAGTGATTGTCCAATTTTTATATTTAGTTTACTGGTACTATAAATAAGTTAAAAGTTGTATAAGTTGAATAAGAAAAAAGAAAACTGTGATTTTGCAATTATAACTCTTAATAACCTAATACTAATACCCAAGAGAATGCTAATAGTCTTTTCTGCATAAAAACACTGCATTCAATTAAATAAACAAAGAAAAACACCCTCAGGTTGATAATGCCCAGAAAGTAAAAGAATAGATTCTTAATTTAAAATTGCTCTATTTGACAAACAGATAAATTCAGTAATATTTATCAGAATTCTTGCACAATATCATAGTAAAGATTAAGGTTCACCCAGCCCAAGTAGATAAGTGATTGAGTGTTGACCTATGAACCAAGAGATGACAGGTTTGATTCCCAAAATTCAAAAAGTCAGGCACATGCCAAGCATTGCAGTGTGGGATGTGCGGGAAGCAGCCATTCTCTTCCATCATTGATGCTTCTGTCTCTCCTTCTTTCTCTCCCTTCCTCTCTGAAATCAATAAAACATTTTTAAAAAGATTAAGCTTCTTTGCCAAAAGAAAACATTTGGAAAGCTGGTCAAGTGGATAGGCACTCAAAGAAGAACTTAAAATAATGCTAGACATGGATATCAACAAAAGAGTGGTCAGAAAGAGAAGACATTTTGAAGAGTGGAAAGATCAACACACTCAGACAAACGGTAGAGAAGGAAGCATACTAGGGCCACAAGTTTGAGTTATTGTGGGGTAGGCTTTGCGGTGGGTCAGTGGACTGAGTTCTGAGTGTACCATGGGGACACCAACAAGAGGAGTCAAGCTGAAGTGGTTAGACTGGGACTTGAATTTTCCGGCAAGTATCTCTTTGTATCACCACAGGTTTGGGAGACTTTCATAAAAGAAGACCTCAAGTGTTCCAGCCTTTTTCTTTGTATTCATGTCAAATCATTCATGAGGATGATTGGTTTTAAAATACATAAACATAAACAAGAATAAAGCAGATCATAGGTGTCTTGTATTTTTAAAGCTAATGAGCCAAAGTTTTTGAAATTACAATCATTTTTATAATGCTAAGTTTACCCAAATTATATTATTTAGTTATCAAGGAGTTATTCTACATTGCTGAAGCAGCTTTTTCGGTCAAACCTCAGCTTGGTAAACTATTGTACATAGGTTTCCTAATTTCTGTTGTATACACAACTTACACGTGGGATCATATTTCTTTCTCTGTGACCCCAAATTTTACTCCTGTGTTCACACTAAAGAGAAATTCATGCTTATATAAATCAAAAGGAATTTGTGTGTGTGTGTGTGTGTGTGTGTGTGTGTGTATGAGAGAGAGAGAGAGAGAGAGAGAGAGAGAGAGAGAGAGAGAGAGAGAGAGAGAGAGAGAGAGAGAAAGCCTAATATTGGGGAAATACATCTTAGTATTTAGAAAAATGAGCATGTGTACATACTCACATTATTAGTAGAAACATATTCATAACAGCTTTGTCTGTTTGCAATGTAGAATTTAAGGAGTGCTTCCTCCCAGTTGTCCAGAAGCCACCATTCTATAAAACTCCATCCAATCTTCATGGAGTCTTCTGGGCATCTGGCACAGGGCTAGCAACCAAAGAGCTTTTAGAATTGTAAATTTGAGTCCCA